CGTGAATTTTCGGCCCAGTGAGATTCTCGAACAGGGTCTCCAAGATTTCCTCATTGTTTACGTTACCGGGTGACGCAGGTAGTCGGCGGAAACACCCGAATGGGCAGCACACACGGACAGGGCTAGAGGTATGCTTGTGTGTTAGAACGGTGGAAGTAAAGTGGGAGCCGTCGGTAGGTCATAATGGGGGAACCAAGTTCTACGATTCTGGCATCACTGGCTCACACAAGAAGAAGATCCTTCCCAAATTCCTGAAAAAATGTCGTTGCATCGCGGAAGTAGATGGCGTTATTTCACAGGAAAAACATTTTCTTTACCCTAACTGAAATGCACATTCTGGCGGGATGGCTGCCCGGAAGTTGGTGTTGCCACGGTACCCCCTTCCAAGTCGCTCAACCTGTCAGGGAGAGCATACGCTCCTCGACCGTACCTCCGCGGTGGCTAAACCAACTGACTCTCTATTTCCACGAACGCGGGTTTCAGCCGTTCCGTCGAAACTAGTATTTCGTTTCCGCGACAATCTATCTTTGATGAGTCTGACTCGTGATGAGAATTTCGGGCCAAACGTAAACATTGCGAGTCAGACTCGTAGTTGTAATGTCATGTCAAACATAAATATCACGAGTCTGACTCGTATTCAAAAGTTGGAAACAAACATGAATGTCACGAGTCGACCTGGTGACTGCGCAGGTAGTCGCATAATATCATTTGTTTCAAGTTCGGACAACACGTCTCCGCCGCTTCGTTCCGAGAAATCTCATGCGATTTCGCTGAAATCAATGCTGGCACGCACCTATATGGCGCGATGACTCACCGCTAATCACCGAATTGTGCAAAAAAGAACTCTCGGTGCTCGAGTATTGTTCTACATCGAGAGCCCGCAGAACAGGAATAATACCGAGAACAGTTTCTCACGCGACAATTTGCACGTGCCTCACGTCGTTGTCGTAAAGTTCCTATTGTTGCAAACGGTCAACAATTCTTAAAACACGCGCACTGCGTCAGAGTCCACGATTCTTTACTTTGTATAGTCTAATAAATGTTCTAAGTGTTTGGTCAGTTATCGTAATTTCTCGTGTGTTTTATTGGACTCTCGCAAGAGTCCTTCTTCAACCTCTACGCTCAGCGCTGAGCGATCCCAGCGATTTCATATCAGAATTTGCGGCTAGCAGCCCGTTTCGATACATTTTTTGGTCTTTCGAGCCAAATTGGAGTTGAAGGAAGAACACCCGAATCAGCATCATGGCCGAACTGCTCCATAACCAGTTGGAGTTGGAACGAACGATTCAGCGCTCACTGGAAACTTTCAAGAAAGTTGAACACGCCAACTTAACTGCGGAAGAAGTGCGAGCAAGCCTCTCTACTCTCAACGAAACATGGGTCGCCTTCCGTGTAGGACACGTGAAGCTGATCACCGCCCTTCCTGAGGAACAGCAATCCACGATACCATAAACCATGGAAGGACTACATGGCAGAATGTCTGGAGCAGCTGAAGCCTCCCGTGAGTCATCCGTACGGTCATTTTACCTTTAAGACACATTAACCCGCCGCAACCGCGATCGCGACTTTCCCGTCAACCTGTCGAAACCCGGCCGATTCTCCATGTGTGGCCGTATCGAATACGCAAAATCGAGCAGCGTGTCCTCGTTGTAACGCGCGCCACTACCTTAGTGCTTGTCCCGCTTATCTCGCCGAAACTCCAAGTCGACACCGCGAATTTGTTATTCCGTTAAAAGCTGTTTGAACTGTCTCAGTCAAGGGCATGCAGTCGTGGATTGCCAAAGCAAATATCCATGTCGGCTGTATCACCAAAAGCATCACAGTTCGCTTCACGATGACTCGGAGTTTCGATCGAGAGTCGCGTCGACCGCGTTGCCGCGCGAACCTTCCGCTTCGCCGGTTAACTCTACTGTTGCGTTACTGCCCACGATAACAGCACGGTGAGCCCCTTCTTATATATACCTTGCTACTGCCTGGGTCAAGGTTAGGGAAATTATTCTCGAATGAGTTCGACAGAGTAACCATGGACAGTCAGTTGCCCAAAATTCTGTCTTCGAATGAGTTATCTGGGGGCTCGTTCCGTTTCTGTCGGTCCATCAACTGCCGGCTGTCCAACTCTCTCTCTCTCTCTCTCTCTCTCTCTCTCTCTCTCTCTCTC